GTGTGTGTGTGTGTAGTATATATATATATATATATATATATATATATATATATATATATATATATATATATATATATAACGGTGTACCCCTTCTCCTTTATCTTCCTCTCTCAAACATCAATATGTACCAACACATGATAAACTGGTACTGACCAATACCTACCAATTCGACCAGAACATCGAAACGGGTCCAATATCTAACATGACAATCCTTTGCTTAAAAGTACAGCTAAATATCTCAATTCAAAGAGTAATCAGCTTCTCAGATGAGCATAGCAATTCAGCACTGATTACCAACTCTGAAGCCCAAAGATAAAATAACCACATTGAATCATATAGACATTGAAGGCATGCAAGAACCTGCATATATCCAACATTTTCCTCTCCAAGTGCAAAGCCTCCAACTAGAATAGGATGACGAGGATCAAAATACTCAAACATCTCAAAAGGAATGCCATGGATTTCTAATCTCAGATAAGTGCCAATTCTGAAGCCCTCCACTTCTACACGAGTTGCCTCATCCAGATCATTGAGTTCAGCTATGTTCATCTGCTTACGGAGCTCAATCTCTTCCTTTAACTGCAAAAAAAAATACATCTTCAAAGTCCTATCATTAATGAAAGCCAGGATTGTATAAACCAAATAAGCATACTTTATCAAAATAACCCCCAGCATCAGTTTGGTTTTGGTTGATTTTCCTTTTGTTATGTTCTTCCTCGTCTGATAGGTCAGATCCATCATCTGTAGGTCAAAGTTAAGGCAGACATAACAATGTGCACCTTTTTTCAGCACAAGAAGCAAAAGACAAAGAGGATCCTTTTTAGACATTGAAAGAAATGTCAATAAGAACTAAGAGAGATGGGCCTCTGGCAGTGACTAACTATCAGCTGTTATTCATCTAATTGTCCAAGTATTATAAAAAAATAATAATAAATAATAGAAGCAACAGCTAAGGAAAAAAAGGATATTGACCATCAAATTTTGCACGTAGAGCAAGCTTTTTAAGTCTTCGCTCCTCCATTTCTTGTTCATCTCCCATGCGAAAGCTTCCACTACTTTTATCATTATCTTCTGGAGTTCCCTTGAACACCTCTCCAGTTTCTAAATCTTCAAAATCACCAAAAACAGTTTCATTATCTCCCACATCTTCTGTTCCGAGACCCCTTTGAGCAGCCTTGGACCAATCTCCTGTTACGAAACGGTCGCGAATACTTTTAACAAGGTCTTCATCAGACCAGTCTTTGAGTTGAATGTTGTTGAACTTTGAGCTATCTTCCGTATCGACAATATCAACATCTAAATTATCACTTAATTTCTGCAGACAATGATTTTAAAGGAATCATTTTAAACAACCTAGCCAAATTAACTGTATTCACAGAAACGACAGCAAATTTCTAGAAAACAAACAATGCAAACAAATCTGTATAAAGCATCATCAAGATACCTTTGTCCTCTCTCCCTTTGGCATAAAAAAATCCTCATCGCTGTCATCACTCTCACTGCTGTCATGTGCTTCCTGTGAAGTGGTTGTTGATGCCGTTACATTTCGGCCATATACAAGTTGCATTAAGTTACCATTTTGTCTTGACACAGTCTTAGCAAGCAATGATTCTTTCCACTTGGACACATTTTCTCCTTCATCCTCTACAATGCAAAATTGAGAAAAGTAGAATGATTGTGAGATTTTATATTCCTCATCATAGTTTGCATAAACATTTAGTAGAAATGAAAGCTTTCTCAACCAACATTTTAGTCATGGAACTTGTGGCAACCAAATCCAGATGAAGTTCATGAAAGAACAATAAGTGAACTACACTTAATGGTTAAACAAAAAGAACTATATGCTCAATCTCGACCCTGATAACAAACTAACAATAATTAGAAATAACCAAACAGCTTTACTGGCCAAATGGTAAGAGATAGCCCTTTCCAAAGGCACATTTACATGGAAGGCGTTAGTCTCTTTTTCTGAGAATATTAACAAAGCAGGCTCTTCTGGATAACTCCAAGGTCATAGGCCAGCTATCTCGAATATGGCAAGGAATCCTAAACGTCAAACAACTTTCATAGTCTCCTCTCACTTATTCCTGAAAAGATGCATGGCCCAAGTCTTTCACCTTGACTATCTCTTCACTGCATTAATTAATTGCATCCATTATCCCACTGTTAATGTGGCTTCCTCACTCAGAAGCATGATAGTTCCAGACATTACACAGATATTGTGCATCAGACATTATACAGATATTGTGCATTATCTATGGAATGGAACCCCTTATCTAAATCCAAGTCATTTCCCTTCTCTTCCTCATAATTAATCTGGAAACCATCTTCGGAATAGAACCCCAATGCCCACTTATCAATGGCATCCTTCAGTAAACTCCTAAAATTCAAAGGCTGTTTTTGTGCATTTACCATATTTGGAAAAGCCTCAGCATTCCTAGAGGTCAATGATTCATGTGGCTCAATATCAAAAATAAAACTCACTCAAGGCAAGTATTCCTCAGGATGCTGGATGACATGCTCACTTTGCTCAGCCCAATTTGCAATGATTGATCACATCCTTCTGTGTTCTCCTGTAGCTCACAAGATTCAGAATGCCCTCTGTTCAACTAATACCATTGTTCCCTACTAATCTTCCGATTCTTTCTCTCCATCAGAAAAATTCACTTCTTTCCCATATGGAATTCTAAAATTGGTCTCATCATCCATCTCTGTTGGACAACATGAAAAAATAAATAAATAACATATTCACAGTGGTGTTTTTTGCGAGACCTCCGACATACTTAAGTGTAGCCTTGCTTGGTTCAGAGACTTCCTGCACACTTCTACCAAAGCATCAGGGCACATTTTTAATAGTTTTTCAGGGAGCAAACCTATTTGCAGGTGCCTATTTTTATTTTCCTTCGTTGACTCTTCTCCCTCATCTTATCTTCTTTCCTTACTGTGCTTATAATATATGATTTATGCTAAGGACAGCTCCACTGCTTTTGCATCAAAAAAGAAAAAAAAAAGCTATATGCTTCATACGTACCTGAATTCAAATCCTCATCACCTTCAGAAGATTCAGAACCAACATCCATATGATCACCCAGATCATCATCATCGTCATCGTCATCATCCAATTCTTGCATGTCATCTCCTTCAGAGTCCTGAAGCAAAAAAAGGTTAAATGTCAGACCTGCAGAAACAAAGCAGCTAATTGCTAAATCACTCAAATCATAAAACAGAATTGATTAACCAAATTTATTATCCACCCAATGTTTGTGTACTTATGCAAGAAACAAAGGAAATTATTGAGGAACGAGAACAGAGAAAGTTACTTCTAACCTAAGTGCTTAAAGTGATTTGTATAAAAGTGCAAATGCTCCTTTGTCCATATATATAATTTTACATGGAGTTATTACATCTGCTTGTACGTGATGGCTCATTAGCTCCATGATAAAGCTGAACATAATGGTTAATTTTCTGCATTTAACATTTTTATATGAAAACTCATGAATGGAAATTTAGTCTAACAGATCAAGGATTGTAGAAACTAAAAGTCAATAATGTTGTTACTCAAATTTAATCAATAAAATATTGCTTTTCCACAAGTGAACCTCCAATATTGTCTTTCAAGCTTGTCTCTCATCACAAACAAGGTAAGAAAACAAAGTATTTCATTAAACTTTGAGTGCCATTAATATGAGAATGATTTTCGAAGACTGAAGTCAAGGATTTAAATGTCAGTCCAATATCAATTTTAGTAATCTATCAGACCAGCTCGGTCCCAGTATACCAGGTAGTGTACCAATCTGTATTTGGTGAAATAGTATTTGGTATCATTATATGCAATTCTTTCTCGTATTTGGTAAAATAGTATTGGAATTTTTGACCAACCAAAATATTGGATGGTTTTTCAAAGAGAACTAACCTCGTTAAATAAAAAATGGTTTAATAAAGTGGTCGTCAGAAGCATTTCTCAGCCTTCAGCTAATTCTTGAGGGTGTTTCTTGGTTACCCAACCTATCAATAATTAATTACTCAAAAGTACCAACCTTGCTATTGAATGTACTTCACATAGTTACATGCACGGGCATATGATGAAACTAGCATATGCCTAACCTATCAATAAGATTTTTATAATATTTGGCATAAACCAGCCAGATTCACCTTCAATCAAAACAATACAAGCACAGCTCGAGATCTTTCTGAAGTTGTGAAAAAGGCCAAGCTCAATGGAAACAAAAAGAGTGTCTTAATCCAAAAAGAAATCACCAGCAAACCAAAATTATATAACTGAACCCATATAACGTTCCAGAGCTGATCAACTGGCACTACAGAAAAACAAAAACTATCCATCTTACAGAGAGAATTGTGTTAGCCTCCTGTAGAGTACAATGAGTTCATGTTATGAAGAAACCAGATGTAGTGAAGAAGCAATTTTGTTCACACAAAAACAAGGACAAGAAGCCATAATGTCCCAACAAGCAGAAATATATTCAAGACCCACACAAAAACAAAAACCATTGTTACAGGATTATGAATGGCTATTCAACTTTATTTCCATTATTTTGCATGAAAAGGCTGTATCAGCTGATGCCTCTATAAAAATTTTCAAGATTTACTTGAACGTTGTCTACAAAACATAACAGTTGATTACAGTTCAACCTTTTATTATAATCAAAACAGTAAACAAGCAGTATCACCATCAATTAATATTCCTCGGCGATTTTCATGTTCAAGTGGTGATAGTATAGTTGACAATAAATATGTAAAGATCTGAAAAGAAACCTCATCTTGACACAGAGCAAATGATTTGTAGCTTTTACACAGATAATTTTCACTGTACAGTGCAACTAACAGAAAAACGCCAAACAACAATTAGTACTTATATAGTAGTTACTGCAGTTATTCATAAGAAAGAATGAAGAGAAGTTAAAAATCGACAAGCAAATAAATTAAAGTGAACGAAAAGGATCAAGAATCGACGAGAAAAAATTAAGATTGTCACAAAAAACATGCAGCAGTATCAATTAGAAAACTACAAATGATTCACCATGTTTCATGTATCTCTCTTCTCTAGCAACTTCAAGAAAAAATGTTTGATGCAGAATAACTGTCATGTTGTACCCAAGGTCCAATCTCTAGTCTCTGTTAAATTGCTATCACATTTTTCCCTGAATCTATGAACCAATTGACAGAAGAAAAACCAACAGCATAGGTAGTAGTTTACCTGCAGATCACCATTATATTTATAGTCAGATGAAATAACTCTTCTCCTGAACCTTCCATTATGGAACTCAATTTCTTCCTTCAGATCGTGGCTAAATGCTGTTATCTGTTGATCACCTTCATGATCATCATCCATGGTACAATTGTTGTCCCCATCAGAATCATCAGATTCACTTTCTGCAATGAGCTCCTTTTTCCCATCATCATCTGATACTTCTTTGTCATCCAAACGATCATCATCCTCTCGATCCAGGATGCTAACATGTCTTTGACTATACCTACTTTCATTTGCATCAACATTATCATCAGATGCAGAAGGGGGTTTCCTACCAAAAAGATTTATGAAACTCTGTTCCAACTTCTCATCAATGGAGTATCTAGTGTTCTGAAGTGTTTTCACCAAGGCCACACCAACATCACGATCGTTTCCTGAAGGCATTTATTATAAAATTGAGCAAAAATCACAAAGAAAAAAATTTGTGAGATAAGAAATCAACAGGAGAAGATGGAAGATCTGTCCAACTAATGAAGTTTTCAAAAGAATTAGGTAAAAGTTTATTTAGCTGACAAAAAACTAAAACACATATCATCAGCTTTTGTGACTGGCATTATCTAGAAATGGCCAACTTGGAAGCTGAATCTTATACACTAATCAGCCTACAATGAATCTGTAACCTATAAGTATTCCAGTTTACTGGTAGGGGTAGAATGCAGTTGCACAAACTGGAACACTTGTTTACCTCCTCTATGTGATGTAGACTGGCACATTATAAACTTTGGTTTTCAACACTAATCATGTTTAACCCTTAAAGTATGCTTATCAAGTTGTTAATGGGAATTATAGCCAGGGTTCCTACAAACCAGACCTAGTATTTTCTGCACTTAGCATGCATGAAAATATTTGCAAAATTGATTTCGGCTGGACTAAACAAGAAATCAAACAAATAAGACTTCAATGATATATAAAGGTGGATGACACAAAATTTGAGCATCTGCTGCTCTCGATAATGACTACAGTAATATCAATATGCCCAGCTCCTAAATTATCAAAACATGCATAAAGGGAGCTTAAAAAAAGGGTTGCAACCGAAAAAAAAATTGATTTCACAATAGATGAAAGCAGTGACCATAAGCTCTCGGTCCCATTTTTGGAAAGGTTGACAATACATGGATCATATACGGGCTAGTTTATGTAAAAGGTAGGAGCAAAAAAGGGGGGAAAAAAATGCTTCAACACCGAACCTTGACTTAGTATGACTAATGGCCTCAAAGTGGCATTGACTTTGGAACCTTTTTTACACAAGGAACATGGTAATCTCAATTATTGTTTAGTACAGGTCCAGCAAAATCAACCCAACAAGTAATCAAAGATAAACAGATTCATAAGACCATAGTGAAAGTGAAGGGTAGAAGTCACACTGCCACAGAAAAGGAAAAATATACTAGCTGCTGTAACACATTAGATACATAGGAATAATAACTAAGGCATTGATTCTTTGTACAATAGTCAGCATTTTTCATTCATAAACTCATAATGACTCACAAATAAATACATAAAAACTGGCTCACCTAGAAAAAGAAGAAAGACCAATATAGTGTTGAATACCAGTAAAACTTCACTACTTTAATTTTACATCATCTACTCTTCTAACTCCTGTTTAAAACTCCACCTAAAAGATCCAGACAGATTCTATGACTTCAAACTTTTTTCATATATGACGGGTGAGGCACGGACCAAGAAGCAGTATTTCAATGTCATACATGATATGAATCACAGAGCATAAGGAGGTACACACCTAATTTATCCCCGCCAAGATAAAAGTAAGATGAAGACAACTAATGATCATGAAAAGATGAATTCATCATATTCATATCATTCCTACTATCCTGGCCAGGAGATGCATGGTGAAAGTTGATCATTTTTTTTCAGAGTTGGATATATCCTCCAGTATGCAACAGCAGTATAGTAACAAGAGCAGCAACTTTAGTGCACTTCATCCTATAGATTAGTCCTACTTGTCAGATACACCTCCCAACTACATGGGTGCTACCACACTATTATCAATGTCAGACGTCATGGCAGCAGTTCCATGCATGAATCTTGCAGATACCATATCGATTTACAGTTTGTGTACAGACCCTCATTATTTTCGTGGTAGGAGCATGTATATGTTTTATTCTACATTAAATTTATTCTTTCCGTAAAATCTAATCTTTAGACACTACCATTGATTTTTATTCAATATATGTTTTAACTTAGTATTTTTTTATTTTTTATATTGAAACCACTTCAATGCTATGAATATTAATTGTTTTTGTCAAGAAAAGTTGAGAAAGATGGTTCTGAAAGGTTTTCGATAGACCTTTTTAGGTACGTGATATGTGCTAGGATACCATGTGTCAGTACACTAGCACAGACCCAAAATTCAATCCTTGCTTAAAACTACATTATCCAGTTGTACCATGATTTTTGTGACTCTTAGATTCTAAATTATCTAAATACAAAAATGAAGCTTTTTTAGTCTATAACTTTCTCATTGATTAGTGGAGAAAAGTTCACCTATTTCTGGATTAATTTATTGATGATAAGGTAAAAGAGCACTGAACATCAAATACTAGAAAATTTGTTTGTTGAAGTTCAGATCAAAAAACATATATGAAGAAATTTAGGTATGCTGAACAGTTCTTGACTACAGAACATCAATTATATGTCCTGGTCATATAATTTTACTAGGAATGCCACTCCAAAATTTAGATAAAAATTTAGGAAAATGTCAAAAATACATACCCATATGAAAGATGTAGCAATCAAAATAATCCAACACTGCCATAAAAGTAGAAATTTTATATAATTCAACATATATAGCATACCTACCTTTCCCAGAAGCACTAGTATCTTCGTCAACTTTAGAAAATTGAACAAGATGATCATTAATGTTTATATAAACAGCATCCTTATCATAAAGAAGATCCCCAAGACCAGACATGGGTGCATAGAATAGTTTCTCCTTGTCCCGCAGTCCCTTCTTCTTGGCAGCTGAAGGCAAAGGGCAGGGATCAGCCAGACTAGTTATTCCAGTTGATGCAAAGTCACCAACACCAGCAATATGCACCTGCCATAATTGAACATATAAGATTAACTCATCAGCAGACAAATGTGGACCAGTGATTAACAATCCAAAACACAACAATTTAAAAATAGTACAAATATCATCTTAATGGGACATATGTCTAACTATTCTTGTAATAAGACAACATAAAGAGTAAGAACTATCAAAACCCAAAAGAAACCAATCTTATTTATTCAGTTTTTGTTCTTAACTTAATTGAAGATGCATAATATACAGCACATTGGTCAAACATCTTGAATATATTCAGAATAGGTCAAATATCAATGTCTTAATCCTGTATCAGATCCTCACTATGTTGTACAATAAATATTTGACAGGTGAAAAACCAAAAATATAAAATATACTTAGCAGTGCAAGTTCAGTCCAGCCCAGCCCATCCAAGACCAGAGAATTAGTGATTCAGATCAATTGACTTGCTCAAATTAGCATTGGGTCCAAGCAGACGTAAGACAGCCACAACCTGGTCTATAGGCAGTCCTCATCTAACCAAAAAATATGATTGTCAAGTCCTATTACAATCAGGTAGAACTAAGAGCTGAAATTGGATGAAATTGAGATCCAAAATTGAGACGTCCAACCACCAGAAAGAATAGGCAATGGTCCAAACTGATGCCAAGCAGAAAGGAATACTCTTCTTCCATTTCCTATTAGGAGTAGAGTGAACAGTAGTCTATCCAGTAACAACACCATGCAAAAAGTTAACATCAAAATAATTCCCCATGCAATAAAATTGAAACTACAACAATGTGGCAACCACAAAAATCTAGTGCAACAACCACAAATCTAATCATTGGATTATCATCATCGTGTCCTTGCAAAAGCACTACCAAGGGTTGGCCGACCCACTATAAGACACCTACACGAAATTCCAAGCTATTACACCAATCCTAATGGATGACTAAGCTACCCTAACGCTACCGATGATAACAGATCCACTGAAATAATGAGAATGATCAAGATATCATCTCTACATGAGCCGAGGACAATTGACTATGGTGCCTAACACTGCTTAACAGGATTTCGCATAATCTTGGCAGCTCATGCAACAAAATCACTGATAAGAGCAGCAATCCATCATGCTTTTGTACCATGACAAGCCCGGAAACAACCACAGACCTTAGCAGTAACAAAAAATTAACAAATAATTGTAGAGAAATACAGGCAAAAGTTATTAAGGAATTGATGAAAATACAAGTTGCTTAGATTAGCAGAGTTTTATCTCTCCAAACAAGACCTTGTCACTGCCGTGGGAGCACTTAGCTACTTTCTCTTATAATTATAGTGATAAAATATTAAAATCTTTACTTCCCTTCTATTTTCTTCTAGGACAAAAGGCTCTTTCTCTTTCTAGTTTGAATGACAATAAAATGAACAGATAACTTATTTCTACGGCAACCTTGTAGAATAGTGGAATTTAATAATATTGAATCAGAAGTTACACAATAGAGCCTACACAAACAAAATTGTTTAACACAATTCAAGGCAAAATAGATCATAGATCGTAGATCCACATATGGATATCTTCATACTCTTGTAGATCATATGTAAAATATAAATTCTTCATAGCAAGCAATAGATTCTGACTAGCACAAAGTTATAAGAGGCAAGAGGGAATAAAATCCCAATTAATGGTTCACATCTACCATGATTTTTTATGTTTAATCCGATATGTTGAGTTGAGACAGACAGACAGACAAATTTCCTAAAATAAGACTCTTAGTCATTGTTACCAAGATAAAATACCAACAAATTTAGAATTTCACTTTTATTCAACTTGCATGAGGTTCTGAGTGGGTAGAGGGACTATAACCTCGATGGCTGACTTATACCATATCTAATTTTTCAGGTTTGATCCAAAATGTTTCTAAGACAGAAAAAATCCTAATATCGGTCCTCATTGTTTACCCAGACCGACAAACAGTGAATACCAGTGAATCTTAAACCTAAGTTGAACAATTTACTACTCAAGCCTCACCCTCCACCTTCAGCAATCACACCCAACAAGGGATCAAAAATATGTTAGGTGGTAGTTCGTCCCACATGAAAATGGGCTAAGCATCATGTTAACCATAGACAGACAAATAACATTTTTTTTTTGTTTTCCACTTTGCTCAATCTATTATGATTAGCCAACATGTTTCCCACACTGAGAAAAATTGTATGTTAAATCTTTGTTATGGACAAGCTCTATATCTTTGAAATTCACAATAACTCAGTTACAGATAGCTAACATTGATCCCAACGAATGTGAGGTACTGACTCTATTATAATTATACCCAATTCTGCTGAACTTAATCCACTGCACAATCACTCGCTCGCCCTTGGACACCCAATTCTGCCACCCATTTATTTTCTTCCCTTCTTGCCACCCCTCTCCTCCCAAAATTTATGGCTGCTCACAAAAAATTATCGCCATAGATATGTGACAAATGTGCTAATGTTAGTTGTACCTTTTCTTTTTAATTGTGCATCTGGTTTTAAGACTGTGGATTGTGGTTATTCTTTGAGATGATAAAAGATTCCATACTTTCTTATTAAAAAAATGTCATAATATATCTTCTACCAATATCTAACTCAGGTAGACATCACAGACGTGTTTACTATCCATCAAAGAACTGAAAATTTGAGAACAAGAGTAGCAAAAGACAATAACAGAACTCAAGCATAAAATTATTTTTACAAATAAATTAAAAAATAAAATTCCACATGATAATTTGTTAAGATGTAAGAAAATCATTTTAACACGAAAAACTACACAGCAGAATCATTCAGGAGAACCAGGTAACAAGAGGCTGGAAAGAATACCTTCGTGCCTTTCTTCATATTGCTACCTCGAAGATAACCATACAATGTGATGTTCCTATCACATTTATTATTTGTATGCACTCTTCCAGGGGGAGTGACATCTTCAAAACGGTCAACCAATATATAAGGATGAGAAGACCTCCATGATAATGGTTGGGTTTTCATGACTGAGATGAATCTTGCAAGATTGTGAGTTTCACGTTTAGGATACCTGTTGTCATGTAAAAGAATAAAGAATAAGCATACATTCAGTGAATAGGATTGTACATAAAGACTACCATAAAAGATAGCCGATCAGATCAAACAGATAGACGTAAGTGATTTCAAAGAAAAAATCCTGCCCTTTCAAGAAAATTTACAAATTTAAACTGATACACATACAAGAAAGAAGATTGAAAGGGATCTTGCACATCCATCAGATCATCTGAAAAAATAGACTGAATCTTCCAAAACAAAGAATAGGCAATGCCTTCAAAAGAAGAATTTCATATGTGATATAGAGCATGTAAATCATCTTAAACAATGCACATCATTTTGAAACATCTACAAAAACAGTGGGTGATAGAACCATCTAATCCAAGACTAGTTTCACAAGTATGAAAGGTTTCATATGTGCATGGGTATACATAAACAACTCCTATGTAACATGCTTATTTTGAACAATCCAACATGTGCATGGTTGTAGGGTTTGCGCATGTGATGTTCAACCGATGAGACCAACAATAAACAACTCCTTGGTGCGCCTAGGGCACCATCAGAATCATCAAAAAGTAAGATTCTCAAAATACCATAATTATAAGGGAAACAGGATATCAAAAGTAATATGCTAATTTGAGTGTTACTTACTTCCCATGAACAAGACCTGATAGATAGAACAATTTTGCACCATCTTTAATCTCAGACCAAAATCGATGCTTTAACCGCTGTTTAGTTTTTCTCAGTTTCTTAACATCCTTGAATTTGTCAATATGTGTAAGAACTCCCATAACTTTTGGGAAACCATGAATTTGCAAGATATTAAGGAACTCAAAAGTTTCCTGAAAAGAAAGATTTTCAAATTTATAATCATAACCACCAATGAGACAGTAAGAGGCAAGTGAACTTGAGCATATAAGCATGACATATCCAGAATATATAAGAAAACAGTATTATACTCTTTGTTTTGCAGTCGTACACCTTTCTTAACAGGTGAGATTTTTTCTTAGGAGTAAATAGAAACCATAATAATGACAAAACTGAATAAGGAAATATCTTCATATGTTTCATATACATTTGTAAAATTAATTGTCTCGACATACTAAATTCTATTTCACTGTGAAAAATGAAATATTCAGAACCATATTGTAGAGCTGTGACTTGCATATGATTCCATCCGATCTAAATGAGATTTAGAATATACAACATTCAAATAAAATGTAAAATTTCTGAATGTTTTATAATATAAAATCTTCAGCACCTCAGAACTTTATTCTGTTAACATAGATGTTTTTTAAAGATCGTACTTAGTAGCAATTCATGATCAAAAAAATAATCATCTTAACTATTTGCAGATCTTTCAAAGCTCTATAGTATTATAATTTGCACCTCACACCAATACTTCTAAATTAACAGCAACTTCAAAATACTGCTTTTCACTAAAAATGACTAGGAGCCCCCATCTAGTGGTTAATCCTTACTAAATGGATATCAGTTGCCCACATGTTTGAAGAAACCTCTTTGAACATTGTTACGAATAAAAGAAAATTGAATACACATCATACAACACAATAATGATGACAAAGAGCTGCCTGTTTTAATTGGAGTACCAATTAATATAGGAGCAAAAAGGGAAAGAAACAGATGGTGTCTTGGTGGGTATTTGCTTTTCCAAAAAATCACATGATAAACTGTTATCAATATCAATACAAAGTTCTCTAACTTTACAGAATTCTTGGCTTTTCGGATTCCCAGCATAGGTCAATTAAATCCCTGACACCTAGCATAACATGCCCATCACACTAAGAAATGCTTCATCTGCAGCATTCATCACATGGGTTTTCTGGGTGTACAGAAGAAGACTGCCGAAGGCTAATCCCTCTGTTAGATAAAGTACATCTATGGACTCAACCTCGGTAGAAACACCTTTGTTTAGCAAAGCATGATACTATAGTCCATCAAGTATTTTTCGTCAACAAAAGAAAAATATTATAATCCTGCTTACCATCTCAAAACCATAACTTCCATCAACTAGAAGCAATGCAAGATCAGCAATCTTCGCAGCATCTATCATGCCATTAATATCATTCGGGCACTCCAGAAACTGCACCCTCCTTTGCTTTCCTGGAGTAATTGAATGAACCAAGCTTCTATTACTTCCACATAAAATTCATATAAGAATCAGATAAAATGAAATGGAAGCCCAAAGATAAACACAAAAGTATATAAACCTGAGACAACAGTGATTGGACCACGGACTTCAGATAAATTATGCTTTGTGTAGTGCTTTACCAGGCACTTTATCAGAAGGGATTTCCCAACCTGCAAATTACATTATCACCCTACATATTTCAACCTTCTAAAATTCCCTCTACAAGAGTTAGTTAAAAAAATGACATTGTGCTCAACATTCCCGGGTCAAAATGTTACCTTGGGAGGCCCCTGTACAACAACAATGAAAGGAGGCAGCTCTCCAGTAGAACGATCGATGGTTGGGACATGTAGCCTGCGCTGTTCTTTCTCCGCAGCACGGGACTGTAGACGCTTGGCCTTCACCGATGAATTAAAAGCAAATGCCTACCAGAAAACATAGCTGTAATTTGAGACCAGAACCCTTGAAACAATCCAAAAATAAAACAGAAAGAAAGTGGCGCCCAGATTCCAAAACCTTGGGATTCCGCTCCTTTGCATCCAGCTCCGAACTGCCGTGGTTCTTCTTCTTTTTCTTAGAGGAAGCCCCCGATTTGTGGGATCGGTGGGACTTGTGCGCTTGTTCTTGATCCGTTGTCATTGCCGACCTGAGACAACGATTCAAGGCCAATGTAATCAAAGGCGAGAGGCGCTAAAAGGCGCCAAGGGGCCAAAACGCCCAAGGTGCTATGCACTCGCCTGTGCAAAGCAAGGCGAGCCCGATTATTAAAATTTTAAAAATATATATCATGACTAATGGATATAATCACTAAAACAAAAACAAAAACAAAAAAACACAGAAAGACCAAATTACATTGTTCATTGATATTAATAAAATAAGTAACGTAGAAGGAGGAGGAGGACGGAAAGGGGTTTGTTGGTTATGGGGAGGAGAGCAAGGATGAAGGGTCCGAATATGGAAGAGAGTTGCTACCGATCGGGGTGGCTGTCTGATTGTTGTCAGTTGGGTCGCTGTGGGTTGTCGTCGGTTGGGAGGGGAAGAGGGAGGAGGAGGCTGTCGGGAAGCCGGCGGGCGGCCGCAGCGTAGCGAAGGGGGAGAAGACGCTAGCCGCGGGGGTGAAACGATGCTACAGAGAAAACCGCCGGCATAGGGAGGAGAAGGGAAGACGCCGACGTAGGGAGGAGAAGGAGGCTGTCGGCGCAGGGAGGAAGGGGGAAAGACAGCTGCGACAACGCGAAGAAGAGGGGACGCTGGCGGCGGGTGGAAGGAAGAGACAAGGGAAGTCGTGTGGCTACGGCGAAGGTGGGGGCAAGAGAGGGAGGGGAAAAGCGCTGCGGAGAAGTGGAAGAAGAGGGAGGGGAAGACGCTGGCGGCTACGGCAGAGTTGGACGACGGCGAAGGAGGAGGAGGTGAGAGATACCGACGACGAGCACGCTGGAGGAAGACGCTGCCGCCGCGGCCGTTCGCCTATGGAGAGGAAAAGATGCGTCACGAATAATTTCTTGTCCCCCTCGTTGTGTTGAGGAGAGGTAAGAAGAATCCGATTGAGGTTTTATTGGCCCCTCCTCGGGTCGAGGAGAATCCGATTAGGGTTTAATTTGAGGTGGCCGTGGGTTTTTAGAGGGGAGTGATTATTAATAGATTTAAAAATATTAAGATTTAAATACCTAAAATGCCCTTTCCCACTTCACTTATTACACTTGAATATAGAATACTAAGTTAAGAGTATATTATTTAGAATTTTTAAAATTTATATTTCAAATCGAAGAGAAATTAATGTCGATTGAAGTTTTAATGTCACTATGGTGATCAACAATTACGGAGGGTCGAGGTTTGAGTGTATTAACTACATGAATAATTAATTTAAAGGATTTTAATGTACATTTGTGTAAGTGTTATTTAGCCTCTTAATCATACCAAAGATATAATAATAATTTCTGGTCCGGCTGTTTGTTTCATTTTTCACCAATTAAATTATTATTTATAACTCGAAATCATTCTTTGCAGTAAAATGACACTAATGAATATGAGCATTCACGGAGTCTAATTCCTTATGACAATGTGAAAACATGTTGCAGAGTTCATCAACTGCCATCAAACACACACACACACAAGACAAACAAACAACAACCTTCCTTCGGCTACTTCTGATGATTAAGGTTTGTGCAAGATGGACAACATACTGACAGATGCTTGATCTTTTTTTTTGTTGCATACCTCTAAAAATGAAATCCCAGAAAAATACAGGAACAACTCATACATCATATGTGATGATACAGGAAGGAATGAATAGTTTAGAAATCACAGTAGTTATTATGCCTTTGGCCTATATGAACTTGAACTCTGCCTGCACTGACATGAAATCTTCAAGACCAACAACAGTCAATATTCACATGGACGATACAATTCAACATGCTTTTCAGTTATCCTACAATCTAAGCTAAATAGAGGCCATGAGACACTGAAAAGTATGGGAAAACGGCACGAGGGCGGCTTTTATTTCACCCACTTTCAATTCATGCAAAATTGTTTGATGTCTCAAACACCAACAACAATGAGGCCTCAGATTCTGTGTGTCTCATTTGGGATTCGCAATAAGTCATAGTCATCAACCACTACCTACCCAATGGAAAACAACAAGATTAATATAAAAGTATAATCCCAATATGAATAACCAAATACAACAAAACCAAAACCTTGTAGTTCTTGCCCTTGAATGTGTATTCCACTAGTAATTGTGACGGCTCTCCAGGACAGGGATCACAAAACCCCATTATGCCAGACTTCTTTATTCCTTTATGAAGCTGCATCAAGATTGGAAAAAAAAAATTGTGGTCTTTATTAAAGGTAAAAATGAAGATGCATCCGGATAAAAGGGAAAAAAATCATTGTCCAATTCCATAACTTGAAGTCTGAACCAGTTGAAATTATTGAAAAAATAAAGCAGGAATAGATAAATGGCATTTAAGTCAACATCAATCTAACTTTAAATGACATTTAATCCCACAATACTCACCTAAATTATCAGGAAACCCCCACCATTATCTGTTTAGGCTATGATGAACATGGATACCTTGGTAACAACCTATGAAGTAAAAAAAAAATCTGATGCTGCCTAAAAGCTAATAATTGATGGAGGTGTTCTGCAATCCAATGCAGCTGGATTAGCTGTCTTATATAAAAAATCATATTATGAGATAACTCAACAATTTGCTGTCAAGGCAAAAAAAACCACACATCTTGGTTAAACTTCTGATATACACGCTTGATGGTACCATCAGTGTAATCTTAACCTTCTTAGCAGGTGGCTGTAAGGTTTAGTCTACATTTACCAATCCATTCCATACTCTATGCCAAGCAATATCACACTGTTCCCTCCAAGTAAATTTTCAAACAATTACTTCACTGACTCAAGCTAGTGTACCTTGTCATTTCATCAAAAACCAAAGAGTAAAAAATATCTTCTAAAAGGAACTGGACTATTTATTTCCTAATCCTCTGCCGACATAAACTCTCCTGTAACAACCTAAGTCTGAATGCCAATGTCATGCAATAAATATTGCTTAGCTGCACATCAAGTATTCATTCATGTTTTGTGCTAAATTTGGACCTGTTGGTTTATAACAAGGGTAAAACATGTTAAATGAGCTCAACCTACAATAACAAATTACAAGAGATATTCATAACATACCTCAAGCCGAGAGTTGGTCACCAAGAAGTTTAGTGGTAATGTAACATCTAAAATCAGTGAAGCTACATCATCATCCACCTCAAGATGTTCTTCTGTTCCTCTGGCTGTTCTAAGATTTCCATATATCGCTTTTGTAATAACCAGCCCATCTTTTTCCACTTCTTTATTTTTCTTCCTGTTGGAAACATTTTGTAGCAACTTCTGCGCTTTCTTAGCCGCATCCCTTGCTTTTCGAATCTTCATGTTAGCAAAATTCATTATTGGTATTTCATCAGTCAAAGTGTGATATGGAAGTGCATGTTTTATAGAAACTATGTTATAACCAACTAATCGATCCTTCTGCAAAGAAGACATCTTAATATAAAATACTTTACTAAGCAAATTATTCTTAACACATTGATTCAGCAGTGACTAATAGTTGAAAGAATTATAATGTCATATTATAATTAATAAATGATAAATGGCCTCATGAACATAACAAACTGGGTCTAGCTACTGTCACATTACATGGGATACCACTTTCAATAATGACAAGGGGAATAGTAGTTTTGGCTTAAACACAGTACTTTTCATTTAATACCTTAGAGAAGCAGTATATGCAAAGATAAGGTACTTTTACATATTACTTTTGGCTTAAATATACCGGTAATGTCATCCCCTCTAAAGAACCAGCGAATCCAGTATATCTCTACTTTTGTGCTGGCCAGATCACAGCTCAAGATGTAGATTGTTGCATACGAATATAATTCATAAAGGCAAGTAAAAAATGCTGAAAGTTTTTGAGAGAGAAATTCTAGAAGGAACACAGAATTTATTGTAATTGAATCCTAGAAATCCTTTATTTTACTACAGAATTAGAAAGATATGTTATCAGAGAAGCCTATAGAAGAGTTTTTGTAGCTCATGGTGAAAACTAGCCCAAGATTAGCATGTTTCTGAGTCAAAAAGCAAGACACAAACTTACTTGACAAGCGAAAGAACACTTGTCACCAATAAGGGGTTTGATAAAGATAAAATTACAAAGTTCAAAATCTTAACTCCCATCATAAAAGGTAAAATGAAGTCTGAACTAGAAAGATGTCACCTAGAAATCTAGCACCCCGACCAAAAGGAAGCTGATTGTAACTTGGTGGAACTAGTCAATTCAAAGACAAAGCATGACTTCTATTGGAAGGAGGAACAGGTCAGAGACTCAATACCAGGACTTCTCTGAGTTAAGATACTCTTGACAGGGAATGAAGCCACATGAAGAGACCAACAAGTGCATAAACAACTAATATTTTAGAGAACAAATAAGAGTTGTTCTAAATTTTGAGCACAAGACAGAGAGCAAATAAGAGAAGACAAGAGTAAGTTGGTGGACCTGGCTGCGAACTAATGTCACATTGATGAGCCCTGAACATGAGGAATTAATGGACAGACATGACTCACAATCTCACATACATGGGAAAAGAGAAAATTTTCACTGTTAATTATTCCAATATTCAAAAATTTAACTATCCATGCTTCAAACCTTTCACTATCCAAAGTGCATGAAGAGAAAGGATAAATAAACGAATAAGCATAACATAATTAAGAAGTTACTATACATAACCGTTCGAGTCAAGGCTAATCAAATATCCTATCTTCACTTATAAAGAAGCTTCACTACTGTATTTTCTGTATAGATGATAATCCTTGTCTACAAGATCCTTCATTGAGATTTGACTCCATTCTTGCACAGCATCATCAACTAAACAAACCATATACGCACTAGGTTAGCATTCTTTTGTTATTATTGCACAACCTTAGCACGTTGTATACAAAAAAAAAAGGTTGCCATACAGGAATCCCATGTAATACAGAACCTACACAACAAAAACCCATGGTGTAGGAACAAGCTATAATCTCATTGATATTATTGAGTTGGAAAATTTTTAGCAGAATCATTTGAATAATTTGAGTTGGGGGGTAACCCCTCATCAACCAATGAAAATGTACTTGACATTCGCAAACTAATATTAATAAGTATAAACATTGTAAGTTTGTAACCCTATATTACATCATATATTCCAAAGGTCTCTGAGAAATAGTTTTAGAATAGCTATCCATCTCTTCATAAGCCAACAAACCCCTCTTCTTTTTCACATCGATCGGGATTGCAAGGAAGGTAAAGAGTGGAAGTGGTATCATCTTAAGGAATCAAGTAGGTTTCTTCCCTATTTATTTTATTTCAATAAGCTTATTTGTTTTATTTGTTAAATAAAATTACATTTCTTGTTTTTCCTAGGAGAGAAAATATGATATCTTGTTTGGATTAGAAATTATATTTTATCAATCATGAATTTAATTTTAATTTTAATTTTAATCCAAGAAGTGCAGGGAGTTCATCAGATTTATCAATCTTGGACATCAAATGTAGTTCATCAGAATTTCGTGGACGTTCAGCCTCTCAACTAGATCTCTTGCCTTGCAATATATATCTCGTAACTAAATTGCTCCTCCATTTCAACTACTCCAGTTCAATTGTGTCTTGTGTATATGATTAGTTCTAAGTCTTTACAAAGTCTTTTTAAGATATGAAGTTGAACTAAAGTCCCATCTTTAAATTTAAACCTTTTAACAATCTTGCTGTCTTCTACCTGGATATATGGCTTGTACACCTTTTTAAAAGCTGTAGCACCTATTTTCATCACCTCACTAAGCTTTGGTCTTGTTTGTGCATAGCTTTGACTAGTGACAATTTGAAATATTTGGTTATATTATACATGTAAAAAATTGGCTACTTTATATTATCGATGGAAACAACCTTTGCTTGTAAGGGCAAAGTCACCTACATTGAACCTACGAAGATCTCACATTGGCAAGAGTTGGGCCACCCTTTTTTAATGAATGTGACAAACATTGTTATTTTTAACCTAGTATTCACATTGGCAAGTTCTTTTAACACCGTGATTGGCTGCCTCAATCTCTGAAATAATTATTCAGCAAGTTTAAACACCTCCCATAGTTGAAATTCTAACTGAGCTGGGGATACTACATGCAGCAAAATGCATTTCCAAAAAAAAAAACCAATTGACAATCATTGCAGATAATGATAGTCACCAAGGAAATACTTGTCAACAAATAATCATCGATGTGATAGGCTTTAGAATCTGTCTGATGATGGAGCATCTTGGCTAAAAGCAGGAAGCTTTTTGCCATGTAATTTCAGGCAAGATAAGATGCCATGGAGGATATTTCAAAACATTTTATGAATTAAAATGCTCTTAACTGGAGCCTTCTGCACTGTGCCTTTTGTTAAATATATTTAAGGATGTATTATTAATCGGAGTGCTATTACATTCTTAAGTCCCAAAAAGGGGTATTGCATTGTTGGATCAAGGTTAGATCAGTATGGTTTTATTACAAACCAATATACTAGCACCCGGCAAGGGTCGAACCTGCCCAAACATGAGAGGAGGATAGAAGAAGAGGAGGTAAAGGAGGAGAGGAGGTGGAGTAGAGGAAGGGGAGGTGGAGGAGGAGGAGGCAGAGAGGAGGAAAAGAAGAAGAAGCTGGAGGAGGTGGCAACAATGAAGACACGATGGGGAGGAGAAAGAAGAGGCAAAAGAGGCAGTCATAAACAGTACAAGTTAGTCAATGAACATATTCGTGGTCGGACAGGTAGATACCAGCTTGTACCGACTGGTATGCTACTTTTTAATACATTGGTTATTATTAAACCTTAATCTTATTGGAGAAGTATTAAGGTCATCTAGCAACTGTAAGTAACATTCGATGAATCCCTGGCTTGTTAGTCTTATTTGAACACATTTGATGGTAGCTTACTGTTTCATCAGTTTAACCAGTCCCAAAACGCTGATAGGATAATCCCCACCATAACTTCAGATTTGCAGAAGCTACACTGATCAACCACAACATTCTCCGATATTAAAACCTTTTTTTCAAGCTTTTTATGTACTGATCTTCTAATATTTTACATTATCACAATTATACCATAACAAACTACTCTATGTAGTGTACTAGAAGTCATTGTTACCCTTGCCATATCAGTTTAGTCTCTTTCCAGATAGGAGCCAAGGAGATGCTAATCCATCTCCAATGCATGAATGCATTAACCACATTAAGAACTAATAGTGCCACACTGCCACTCAATATTGTGATATTCAATTGCACTTGCAAGGGGGACGCACAGGTTTTATACACTACATGCATGAAAGCCGGCAAATATAGGACTTACAGAAATTTACTTCACTAACATATCGTTCTCTCGTGTGCATATCACAAGAAGACTCGTTGGAATTTTAAGCAAAAACCAAGAATGGAACCAAAGATCAGTTCGTAAACTGTTAGATATCCTAACCTGATTTAGTGACACCTCCTTTTTCTCAAGTGCCTTTTGCTTCTGCCGTCTAAGGTAGTAAGGTTTCAAAACAAATTTCTGCACAATATTCAGGAAAAGAATTACAATCATTGCATAAATTGCAGATTCTAAACTCAAAGTTTTAGCATAAAACCATTAGCAAATACTCATTTTATTCAACCCTAGACACAAAAAATTATAGAGAGCTCAAAAATCTTTGGAAAATGAATTTGAGAGCACTTTATTGATGGAAAAAAAAAATCTGAGTGATAAAATAGCAATATTAACAAGAGAAAAGTTAATATATTGCAACCAACAACTCCCACCTTAAGAAGAAAATAAAGTGACGAAGGAACCATAAATGCCCCAGTTGCAACTATTGGATCTAGATCACGGGAAAGCAAAACCTGCATGTACCAACAAGAGAGAATTTTTATATATTGATTAGACAAGAGCAATAGAAAACTAAAAGATAATCATTAGTATCTAGACCCTTATATCATATAGAAACAACTTAATTCTGTATTTACCAAAGCTCGACAAAGATTCATTTTGCAGAGCTAAAAAGAAGAACACAAAATGAACAGATAACCTTGAGAAAAATCAAGTTGACATGTAAATCCAATAATTTGCACAGATAACATGTCACTCTAACAGACAACATATCACTAGCTTTTTCTCAAGGACATAATATTGTCAGTTTCTTTGATTTACAAGCATATTTAACATAAACCACATTTCAAACTTAGATGTATGTATCACAGTTAAGGCCAGACTTACTGGAATCAACAGCTTCTGGCTCCCTCTGTGTAACTCAAATCTCCACAGAATTCCCTGTAGTCCAATCATTATTTTAAGAAAAATTAATAAAGAAATTCAATTTGCAAATGATATGCATAAAATTCATAGCATGACAAACAAATTTAACCAGGTACATGATGCTGAATGACCTAAAAACCAACGTTAATGCATTCATCTAAACACATGATTGGTACAAATGTACAATCATATTAGCATATTTCTGTTGAATATTGGAACCTACACCTTACCTTGTTCTTAAGAGTTAAAAATTATATTGTTCTTGAGTGTAAACCAATTTTCAGAAGGAACCAGGCAGAAAAAAAACTAGAATTGCAGAAATGCAAGTTCTCTATGACATAAGCAACAAACTAAAATATAGCGTTAACTTATCTTTGCATCCTTTTTTTTTTCCAATCATAATTCTGAATAAAAACAATAGTACGATATTGTTGTCATCAGTGACATACTTCTTTGATGCAGTGTGCCATACTCAGTCCTTGGATTACCAGAACTGGACAATTATTGTGGTGAGACTTCAGATAGAATAAAGATTGTTGGATGGAATGGAAAACCCAAACAATCTAAATGCAAGTAGGACTTTGGATTAAAACTACATTATGAACTTTTACAACCAGTTGAAGATCTTTACATAATCATAAGATTTAAGGGGGCAACTTGCAGCTACCTCTGGCAGCTAAGTACACTATTATCTTTGTTGTCAAAATCTATGATTGTTCCCTAGTTTCTTCTAAATGTTCTTCCTCTTCTCTTAATTTCTCTTTCCTTCTACTTCCTTATTTTCCTTCCATGCCTTCTACTTTGCCTTGTTTTTCTCTTTAACATATTACTTTTTATTTCACAATATTGGCTGGGAGGGGATGGCAAAGATTTGGACCTGAGTGTACCAACCCTAGCCAAGACATCATCAACAACCATTAGAGGTTGTTTGGACAAAGGTTTGTAATTCGGTGGACTAGTAGTGTATCAATCAGGGCTCAGACTATATATAACAGGTTAAAAAGAAAATTCCTGGAAAAACCAAAACAAAAAAAAACTATAAGGTATAGGGACTGTGTACCACCATGTGCCAAGCACATCACTAGGTTTACCTACTCCAGGTACCGCCAGGTTGTCGGACCATAAATACCACCTACATCGAACCATATCGGACATCAGATGGTATTGCAAACCTTGGTTTGGACCTAAACAGCAGCTATCGAAGGAGACTAGACGGGTATGCCAGCTGCCAAGTCCCTGTGTGGGCTCATCAAAGATCAACACTTCAGCAATCGGCTCCTACTTTGATTGACTGCAGCAGAACAAATGTTGGAGGACACAGTCTCAATTGAAAACCAGTAAGATCCTAAAGCCAATAGGAGATGGACTACAACAAGGACAAGGTACCTATGGCAAGGACCAAATAATCTTGCGCTCATCATGAGAGGAAGTAAAACAATTTTTTGATCTTTTGAATGGACATTCTCATTTGCCTTTTGTCTAGAGATAGTATTAGGTTGGATCATATCACGTTGGTTCTGAAAACCACTTAACCTGGATTTGTGCACAGTTGGGGGTCAACTGGTCAAGTGTAGCAAATTACACCTGGATACTATGATTGTCATGTCAGTTCAGGCCTTGTCTGTGTCAGATATAAAACAGGTGTGGAACCACGTGACAGCACCACATCAGATAAAGTTACATAGAAAATTTTGCACCTGCATCATTGTCTCTGTTTACTACTGAGAAACATTGATTGTTATAATTAGTACACATAATAACATTATGCCATCTAAGCTGTCACTCTAGCTGACAGCTACCTTCATTCTATTCTATGCCTTCTCTCTCACCTAAGCTCTGCACTCATTCTCCACCCTCCATAACATCCACCATATCACCTAACATAGTAACATGATAAAAAATCAAAATCATATGTTGCAGAAGCAAGACAACCACCTTCATAGCCTAGGGTGATTTATGTTATGATCTCCTTCCTACTGACCACAAGATTGGTTCAACAACCAATGCTCCACTATGGATAGAGAAATACATCTTGTTCTATAAGCCATCAACCTCAACAGGCTTTCACCGGTAGAAACGTGGGTCAGCTCAAAACTTGTGAGGCCAGAACTCAATATCAGACCCATCCAGTCCTCTCTCAATTGCACAAACCTGAAAACCCTAATCTTGCAAGACAAGTGCCTCATCGGCCCCTTCGTCGAATTCTCTTTCTACTGCAGAAATGATTGCAAATTACAGTGCAGCATATTTACATTAAAAATTAGTACAACAGCTGTGTTCAAGGAGGGTTCAAGTGCAGTTCTCCTTCTTGGACCCAAACCTAGACCTAGAATTACAAAAAGGTTTAATGTCAGACCCATACACAACCATGAAACGTCAGCCCCAAGCCAAGTCCAAGTAGGATCCAGTTTGTGTTCATGTTTTGGGGTTCAAGTACCATCTTTACTCTTGTCATTGTTTTTCCTTCTACTTTCTATTATTTGTTTCCTATTCAGTTTATGCCCATTAATAGTCATATCTCATCATCTGAAGCACAACCAGTTTTGCAAATAAAATTGAACAATGAAATGGTAGAACAAGAACCCAACCACAGGTAACTTTTTCAAGCAAAGTTTGTTGTTACAAGGTAAATGACCAAAAAGTTGTGGGACAATTAGTATAAAAAGAGATGAAAATCCAATATGCACAATAAATCATGAACTGTGTTCTCAGTTTGACAAAATAATCAAGTAGCCTCTACACCACATGGCTGCACTACATAGTTGAATATATTGGAATGCAAATGATTTCAGCAAGAAAAATAGGGAATACAGTAGGTTCTATGTTTTGACACACAACCCATGAAGAATGAAACATATGTTTGCAAGGCATGATAAAGCCATCTTTGCATGTCATGCTAATGACTACTTGTATGTAGCAAAAGAAATAACAAAATCCAGAAAAAAATTAGAATAGAAGCAAGTTGGTGCATAAAGGACGATCACCTCAATTCCTATGTTATAGACTAATCGCACAAAACTGGAATCAGATATTCTTCTTCCACCACCAATTTCTAAATAAAGAGCACTGTTGCAAAGTCAAACTCAGTTAACTGTAGAACTAAAAATGTGACCTGAGAGTAATATTCACAACCAACAAAAATATTCCATTGCTTTTATGATGGTTATAGTCTTATAGAGTCACAAAAGAGTAATATATAAAATATAAGTAGACCCACAGTTTTTTATATGAAGAAGTGATATGACATAGAACATGATGAACATACAATCAAATAAATTATGACATAAGTTTAAAATTTTCTATCTCTATGATCATGCTAATAACATTTTTCGAATCTGTTAGTACATGGGATTCATTTTATGGATCCACTCAATGCAATACTTAATTTTTTGTGTGTTTGGTAGTGGTAATAATATCCTACTTAGCAAACCAACATTCAAGAGGATTATCAAAGTTCTCCAATGTGGTGGTAGCTCTACAGCTACAGAGACCAAAACTAAATGGCATCACTAGTGGTCACCAATATTAAGATATGGAAACGGACTTTGATGAGAGCTTGCTCATTAGGAGCATATAGTTGTTCATGATCATATCAACTTTGATGAGATCTTGCTCATTAGGAGCATATAGTTGTTCATGATCATATCTATTCAGAATATGAGCAAGATCTATTATGACGAGGTGCTACATAAATAACTCCATGAAAGTCTCAGAAGGGAAAAGGAGGCCACAAATTCTGAATGATGCTTTCACAAATCAATTTACTTATCTTACTTCAGACTGGTAAATGCTGCTCGCACTTGTTTTATATTAATTTTGAAAAGTGGACCACATTAGACATGATCAATTTCCAACACCTTCACGAAATTGTTATCCAATAGTGACCCCCAAATATGATTGTATATGAGCAATTCAAACCAACCAACTCCAGTATTACCACATGGTACAGTTGATGAATTATTATCCTTCAGTTATCAAGCTTATCTTTAGCCATGTTAACAGATCAATTTATATCATCTTGAGTCCTTGACAACATCCATAGTCCAAGAAACAAGGGTTTTTCTTGCAAGTCTTGGATGCTTCTTCCATTTTGATTAATCCTTATACTTCTATACTGGACAGTTAGACAATCGTAACCTACATCCTTTTTAAGGTTTCAAAATTAAGGTTAAACAGCAACTCTATTAAAATTTATACACATACCAGAGTTTTCAAAATTATTTGATCATCTGATAGTTAGGATGAATGCTGCCAGTACCTAACCATACCAGGCAGTATTGCAAACTAGAACTGATATGCACCACATGTATGATGTACCGTATGTGTCCATCCCACATAGTTAGGCTGAATCAACCTTATGAAAGATTACCCAATTATTGAATTATTAAAATATATATGGAACTGCATCGATAAAATGTTTATTTACCCAGTGCTATTTCAAATATTATGAATCTATTTAATTTCTAATAAAAAGGGAACAAGAAATAGTCACGTATTTAACATACTGTGTCAAAATATACCTTCCAATGTTACCGGCAATTCGGCAATGAGAATTTTCAGAAAAACGATGAGTATAATGGGCTGATGCCCCAAAATAACCTGTACCAAACTGCAGAAAATTTAAACTACTCAAATTAAGCCAAAGAGAGTCCCTTCAAAAACTTAAGTAATTATAGCTCCAAAAAGAACAAAGAATGAAAGAATAATAACTCAATGATATGACATCCTCAAAGTTCCCTCCCCTCAGATGGTGCAAATGGAAGTTCTATTGGACGAAAAAGGCTTGCTGGGACAGGTTTCACTATAATAGATGCTAACAACTGTCCCTTGGTTGCAGGCAGTATGCCTGAAAATTTTGATGACAATCTGATTGCTGAGGCTACGATGCTTTGTAAGAGGTTGGATTGAACTCAAGTACACCTAAAATATGTCATGATTTTGATATTCTGATTTCTGAGTCTATAGCACTTCGTGATAGATTGGAGTGATTCCCATCAACATATAGCAAATCTCTAACTGGAAAGTTACTCCCAGTTGCCGATTCACATTCTCAAAATCCAAGTAGTAACCACTTGGAGGATTTGTCTGAGTATTGCTGATTATTTGGAGTGATTCCCATCAACATATAGCAAATCTCTAACTGGAAAGTTACTCCCAGTTGCCGATTCACATTCTCAAAATCCAAGTAGTAACCACTTGGAGGATTTGTCTGAGTATTGCTGATTATTTATACTTTATTTCTAAGCTTCACTTGAAAGGTGAGACTTTCTTGAGAGAAGCCAGCAGTGCAGCTATTTGGCTAACTAATCATGTGAAGACCCAGGGCATTGCTTTTCTTTCGACCTTAACTTTCCCATCTGTTTTGTAACACGTTTTGAGTACCAATGTCTCAGGAGCTCTTTGTATTTGTTTTACATTAATCAAAAAAATGGGCTACATTAGACAGGATCAATTTCCAGCACCTTCATGAAATTCTTATCCAATGGTGAGCCTCAAATATGATTGTATATGAGCAATTCAGACCAACCAGCTCCAACAACATTACAAACTATAGTTATCTGAAGAATTCTTATCCTTAGGCTATCATGCTTATCTTTGACCATATTAACAGATCAATTTGTCATCTTGACAAGGTCCAGAGTCAAAAAAACAAGGGCTTTTCTTGCAGGTCATGGATGCTTCATTACTAATTTTTAATAAGATCTTCCCTTTGATTCATCCTCACTCTAAATACTTCTGCACTGAATTTCTAGATAATCATATCCTACATGGTTTTGAAGGTTTGAAAGTTTAGGTTAAAGAGTCACTCCATTAAAATTTATAGACATACCACAGTTTTTCAAAACTAGTTTATCATCAAAAGTAAGAATGAAGGCCTAAATGAAGAAAGCACTGAGCTAAAAAAAATTATAATAATTTAAGTTTTAAAAAGTTAAGGCACTACATCCTAACAGAACCATGAGAACAGATACAAGGATATCTGAATAAGGATAATGCACCTTTACTTCTCCTGCCGCAGAAGTTTTTTCCTCTTTCTTTTTCCATCCAGCAGTAATGGCTGATTCTGTTCCCAAAACAAGTTGTATCTGAAAAACAAATAGATTGCACAATCCAAAATCCACATACAAAAATGAAAACAATCAATTCATTTATAGAACTGTTTGCAGAAAACCTTAGGCATCTTAGTCTACCAATGATGAAATATGCACAACTGATAAGGGCAACACAAGAATCTTACATTATCTTGTCAACTTGGAGCAACCTGATGCTATTGACAAGCAGTTACTAACTAGTCCTCTAAATTGATTGAGGAACCCAAAGTATTAGAAAAAAAGTACACAACAAATGCTGAAAGCCTCTTCATCTAGAGAGGCAATATTCAAAAGCAATGTGTTCGGTAATGTGGCTTTATGCCACCAGGAATCATGTAAGAGAACTGAATGATTTGCCTCACAGAGATGGTCGACTGATACTTGCTGACCTCCCAAGTTGCCCCTATCTATCTTTTGGAGCAAGTCAGTATGACATCTAGATGACTAACTATTGCAACATAAAGCACAAAAAAGCATTTGATTTTTGGATGAGAAGGATCGAATAGAAAACCCCTCCAAAAATGAAACTAATTTATGATGAATATTTATGTCAAAAAATAAGGCCTGGTGTTTAAAGTTCATACACTATATCTTAATATTCTAAGTGAGAAAATTGTAAAATAATTTTGATTCTACATTCACAATGGCCAAAACTTATGAACATGGAGGTAACTTCCATAATGATTTCTTGTGTGGGCACTAGAACTTCCATAATGATGGAAACAGAATATGGAGCGGCAAACATAATTTTAGAAGCAGTAATAGCACAACTTCATTTTAACTCTACAAAAGGTGAGCTAAGGCCTTTCTTTGTTGTAGTAAATAGGTTTAGGCAAGGATTTCTCTTTTGCAGCATGAAATAACACCAAAACCTTCCTGGCAAGGCATAATTCCATGATCAACACACCTTTAAGCTGACATGGGCCTGATAGGCTAATTGACTCATCAACTTCATTTTACCTAAGCCACTGGTCAAAATACTTAGGTTAAGTTGATAGTAATGTACACATCAGACCCTTATAAGTTAATCTTAATCTTATCCACTTCCGATATGGAACTAATCAAGGTGTTACACCTATCACAAGCCATAGTTGGCCTAACTATATGTTAGGGTCTCTAGCACAAGTCAGCATAGCACGTGTGATTACCAATGTAAGCTGAGCTGCATAGGCAATAAACTGGCCTAAGCATATATCACGTGCTCTTGCACAGTTTGGCATATCATATTTGATTAGCCTTCTGGTGCACTGCATTCGACTCATCGCTCAACATGATAGTCCTTGGGTTCATGCGTTCTACCTAACTCTACTAAAGTTGCACACTTGGTTATCAAGAATGTATGAAGTATTCTTTAAAAAATTACTATATTATTTTACTCAAATTTATATGCAAGATTGTTCAACATCATTAGATATTTGGTACTATTCTTAATAAGTTTCCACTTATAGACTAAACAGATGAATGAAAGAAACAATGCCGTCATAGAGAGCTACATTTTAAATATTGCACATGCCAATCATGCTAAACCATGCCAAACAACACATATTGGCATGGAGGCCCATGTTGTCTCAAGTGTGTACCACCAACCCTCTTTTCTCCATAGTTTTGAGTTGGTAAGCACAAATCCGCTGACACACCATGTCTTTATTAAATGTGTCAAACACATGAAGAATGGGGTAGGAATATGAATCAGAGTATTATTTCTGTCTTGGTCATATGGGAAGCCAAATGTCAAGAATATCCTTTTAAAGATTATTGAGTTTGTGACCATGTTGTATATGCAAGCTTATAACTGAGACGGTTTATCGTTAACAAGAAGTGCATCGTCAGTTGGTTAAAGGTACAGAAATGATATAAATTCCCTTGCCTAAGTGAACCGTTAGCTGATAGCTATTTATTTTGATTCACCATTGTTTATACTTTATAGTACTCCAATGGAGAAATTCTAAACAGGGAAATTCAATTGTACCAATATAGTCTGATAGATAAGTCCTGGTTGAGTGATGTAAACTTAGTAGAGTTTTGGATTCTGTAGCAATACGATGGTGACCTTTAATCACTTTCCCATCATTTAGTAAGAAAACTGTTAGACCTAGACATATTAGTTCCCTGTGGAAGAAAGATGAGTTACAAGCATAGCATCAGAAAAGGATACGAGTTGTTCTTATAGAATTGCTACTAAAAACTTAACTAGTTCAGTCGAAGAGATGAATCCAAACACTATATGAGATCATAGTTTGCACTTTGCAGGCATGTAAGATAACACAAAATATAACCAAGATGAAGGTAGCAATCTTATAAGAACTAAAAGAATATGGCCTTACATGGTATGTAAGCCATATATGCAATTGACAAAGGTTCTATGGAACTTGTAGGAATATGGTTCATATTAGCAGAAGTATCAACATGTTAAATCTGTAGGTCACAAAAGCAAAAGCCAATCTTCCATGATTGGCATAGATGAGTTTACTTCACAGAAATTATATTGCCTATTCTTGAACTAAAACTCCAAATAATAAAGACACCATTAAATGGATGTTAGACAATCAAATGAATAATGTTGTTGCAGACATACATCTCCGAAACTCGTTTCTGACAGTTGGCGAGTCCATGTATTTGAAAGATTGACTGAACCATCTCCCAGAGAAACTGTCAATCCAGAAGTTGCTTTTGAATGATTTGAAAGTTGACTGAAAAAGAAAAACAAAAAAACCAGTATGTTGTAACATAACTTCTATGTGCCAATACAGTGTGAAAAAAGCAGACAATCTAAGTAATATCGAACTGGAATCATGATGCCATAACATAAATACAGAGAAGAGTGTCAGGGACTACCAAGATGCCTGCAATCCAATGAGAGATCGAAGACCGGCTGTTGCCATGAAATCCACGTGAGCGAATGGGGATACTTGGTGTCTCAACAAAACATTTGCATATCCATCTCCTCTGTTACCAGAAACAAGAAAATTTCCACTAACAGAAATCATGTTGCGCTTGGACATGTGCGATTGAACCTCACTATACATTTGCATTCTGTAAATTTGCAAAAGAATGATCAAAGGAAAGCTAGCAGTAAGAATACCGTATAGCTACAGAAAAAAATTAGCAATAGAGGAGAGGCTTATTGCAAATGCAGTGTACTTGGACTGAGAGAACAATACAATTCTAAAGTAGCAGGAAAGATTGAAGAGGTCATGAGACACAGTAAAGAATATACAAACGCATGATTTTATATCCCAGCAGATGTTGTCATGACTTGATGTTTTGGAACCGGATCCGTGCTGATCCCCGACCAGACTAGTATTGTTCCAGCACATGCTGTGTGTACCAACATGCGGTACATTGGCATTGGTCCAGTACCCTTTTATAAGGATTTCAACCGTCTGAAACCCTTAAAAAACACTATTAGATTGGTTTTTCTCACCTAATATTATCAATATTCGCATAATTAAGTGGTTCAAGTTTATAGTTTACAGATCAAGCCCTATATTAGGTATAAATCAAACATGAATCTTAAATCAAGCCCCTAAATTAAGACATTAAGCTAAGAAATAGCACCTAAGTTTGAAGATGTTAGCCTTCCAATCTTTGATTTGAATGTTCTCCATGATAAATTGGACTTCTTCAACAAACACGTGAACATGGAAGAGATTTGAGTGAGAGGGAGAAGGTTGAGATAAGGGAAGCAAGCGAAAGGTAGGTGAACGGAGAGAAGGTTGATGATGATTGGTCTCTAGAGTGAAAAGAGGAGTTAACAGTGACAAGCTCTTTTTTACACCTCCAAGGACACCCCAATGGATCTCGTTGAGGTCCAAAGACTTGCAGGTAAGCTCACCGCACGTGGACTGCCTCGTATGTACCAGTCCAGGCGATACAACAAACCATGGATGTTGTCAACATTACCCAAAAGTTAGAACAACACAAAGATGTATTCAAATGGTGGAACTTACCTTATATCTCTTTTTCAACTGGGTACATGATATTATAAGTTATGACATAGTTTGTTAAATTTTCACAAGAGCTTCATAAACATGCATGTAATGGGGATAAAAAATGAAATACACAGTCTGCTATTTTATTGTACTTGCAAAGTAATGCAAACATCACAACACTCTATGATTACAAGAAGTATCTAATTTTGCCAAATTATTGATTTAACTGTAAAGCACATACAATGGCTTTCTAAATAAAAACCAACATCAAAATACAAAACAAAATCATCCTTCTTCATGGCAAAAAAAAATCAAAAACAGTATTAAATGATTAACAATATACAGAAAGGTATATTAATTTACATATATCTTTCAAGACTGTTAACAAATTTACTAGGGACGAGATGATTTTCAAGCATAAATGGTTTATATCATAAGCTATAATACATATGATAATCAGTCAATATAAATAGTTTTATATAACTATTAGCATTTGATGTTATTAAGGAGTATCATATATGTCCATAACTGCACATAAACTTCAACATGCAACTTTCTGCATGGAACTAAAATCTGCAACAATTTAAGTACAAACTGAAATATCAACAGATTTCTCAACACATGAAAGAAAGACATCATCATAATTCACTCTAGTTGTTTTATTTTGTCAATTACAGAATCTATTATAGATAAAATAATTGCAACTATAAAACAGAAAGCTCCTTGTAATGAACAGAAAGACAAAATAAGATCACAATAATTAGAATAGGAGAAAGTTGTACCGTCTGATGATGCCATGGCCATCTAGATATGAAGGTAAAGATAATTTTGCAACAAGTGTCATAGAAGCTGGGCCATGGGCGAGGACCTTTTCCTGCTCCTTATGACGCTTTAATTTTTCCAATTGTTCCTTCAATTCCTCTACTTTATTAAGATGTGGGCCAAGTTCCAAGCCTGATTTCAGACCTTCCATACCATATATGTCATAGATTTGTCTTTTCTCTTCATTATTCAAGACGTCATATGCTTCAACAATTTGGCGAAAATTTTCCGTCGCAGCATCCTTCAACTGAAAAAGGGAACTTAAATTCAATTAACGAAAAACGAAAACTCCTCACGTATGCTAGGAATCATAACATAATATGAAAATTGAAATGGCTTTTACAGATCTCATTGAAAAGATGAAACAGGAATGAGGTCAGTATAAAGGGGAGGAGAAAAGGAAAGGCACTATGTCGAAATGCATTTACATATTAAGTGTTTAACAAGTTTTCCTCCTAACCTTAAGAGTTTTAGACCACAGTAAGACACACCAAAATCAGATCCTCCAACAATAATAATATTGTTAAAAAAATAGGAAGTTAAATTGAATCAGTGCATCTCAAAGATAGTATCACATCATACTAACAAAATCAAGCATTCAGATCCATGGCACCAAAAAAACGCATGTATACTTCGCAGGTTGCAGCATATGCATCACAATCAATTTGATGCCTAGTACAAAGCAATTTTTTGTGTGAACCAATCGAGGCCAACTTGGGAGCATACAACAACAATAAAATCATAAAGTCCCAACTATTTGACAAGCACTTAAAATATTTAATATATATTCTACTATAGACTTACAATCACCAACTCTTTTGACCGTGTTTTCTTTAGAGCCTTCACGTATAATGTTTAATCAGATGTTTGTTTTGCCTGTATACCAGATTTTATTTCTAGTATTATCAATTTCCTTAGATTTTTCATTCACTCAGTTTTGTCTTCACTGACTGTTAATTCTCCTCCTGATTATCAAATCAAATAATTCCAAACCCTTTCCTACAAATATTCCTAAATTGAAGAATGCTAGTCTAATTCAATCATGTCAAACTAATTTTTTTTACTTCATTTGAATAATTCCATAATCCTTGTTTGTTCTGTGCCATATTTAGACACCAGAGTGGTGAGGATGCTTCTGAGTGATCACCAACTGAGAAGCATGAACACGTAATTTTGGTGGCCATGATGGGCACACCTATCGGACACTCCCATGCGGTGCTGTGCTTGTGTGGCCCTCATGTGAAAGCCATATGTTTCGCAAGAAAAGAAATTTGGAGATCGTTGCAACGAAACATATATTACTTATATTTGCATATTGTTAAATATTATTTGATGATTTTAATTTTTTCAACTTGTATGATGATTTTTTTATTCATTTGTTCACATTATTGAGTTTATAAAATTTAAGCATAAATACTATAAAACTCATGTTAATCGAATATTATATATACATATATATTAAAAAATACATGGGTCCTTGCCATATCGATGTCCTAATTTTTCTAAAAAATGACGTGTTGCCGTGTCCATGTCATGTCGTGTCTGCGTCCGTGCTTCTTAGATCACCAATTCTGTCCATCTCTTTGAACAATCACACGATAAGGATCATCTAGTTTGTTCTAAGAGGTACGCATTGTGAAAATAGTCAAGAATTAAGAATTCTGCTGGCTTTCTGGTGCCTAGCATAACACCCTCCTTTATATAAACTTGGGATTGGCATGAAAAAGATTAGTCAAAGCTGCATACACGATTTTACTTAGATCTAAAATTTGTTAACCTGCTAATTTGATGAGCTTCAGCTAGAGCAAGTACCAACATGATTTTGAACTCTGAAGAACCCTACAGAATTCTGCAACTGGCTTAGCTCAAAAGACTCTTATTTCTCTCTCATTGAATAAGATCTCAAATGCCAACTACGGTTTCGTTACACAGCCTACATATAAAATTCCTTGTTTTTGCCCAGATCCAATTCCTCTAAAGCAGTGAACTCTGGTATATTCAGGCATGATACACTTTGTTTGTTGGGAGAATCCATTCTCCTTACAGCCTAAGATAAGCATGACATTAATCATGATCCATAAAAGAGATACAGAAGATGTGATGCACCTTGTCACCACAATTTTAAGTGAAGAATACAACCAGAAACTCTTTCACATCCAATTATTAGAACCAGAAACTTAATAAATGCATTATCGAAGCATAAAACCGGACTTACGAGCTCAGAGCAATTCAAAGCCATAATTACATCGATTGATGTCCTCGAAAAACATGCTAAATAAAGATATCAAGTATAAATCATGTGGACCAGGAAAGAATAGAAGAGATCCTATTCCTTTTTAAGCTTCATTTTACACTAATTATCTTTTACTTTCTTCCTTCACAACATGTGTGTTTATTTTAATAATAGAAACCAAGTATTAACAACAATTATTCTTCTGTAATCAAGAACCTCAACACCTCCCATATCGTTCGCTGGCTAATACTTGGCCTACTCAAGTAGCCATTCGGCCAAACTATCATCATTTTGATATCAAACCCTCTCTAATTTTCTTCTTAACTGTCCAATATCATCAAAATGTACAAGAAATCCAATCAAGATATCTTTATGCTCATGCATCTTCGCGAATTGAACGTGAGAGGAGAGAATCACCATCTTGCCGAGAAATTAAACATTAAAACAACCACGAAAATAAATATAATCGTTTTCGTGATGAGATTGAGACCTCGGGGTCGAGGTGCTTATCGGGGTGAGCTACTCCCGACAAATTAAGGAAGGCCTTGCGGATCTCCTCGGCGGACGCCGACGGCGAAACGTTGAGGCGGGCGTAGAGCTCCGTATGCGGCCCTGCTTCCTCCTGAGAATTCCCCTCGCTCGATCTCGATCCCATTTCCGGGCGATGGCGAGGGTTTGCTCACCAATTTGGAAGACAAGGAGGCGGTTTAATACATGGAGGCCACTTTTGGACAACGAGGGTTTACGAGAGGGGCGGCCGGGGTTCGGGCTTGGGAGGGAACCTCTGTCGACTAACACGAGTTCTACCCATCACTATCACCTTCCCTGTCATTCGAGCCAATGCGTGGACCCGCAAGGGACCCGTTGTTGTTAGCCGCACTTGAGAGGCGAGCGAGTGGGTAAGTCAATCACCGAGTAGACTACAAAAACGACCTCGATGGGAAACAGAAGCTATGGGCCACACGTGTAACGAGCTACCGTACGAACCAGGGAACGACTCAGCGCCAGTGCCAACCCGAATCCGAGAGGATTCCGGGTCGGATCGACCATTATTTGGGCCCCCGTGGGCTCGATTCGAACGTGTTGACCACAGCCGCTAGAGAGGACACTTTAAACACCCAAAGTCAACGGGAACGTTTGTTGTGATTGGATAACAACAAATCTGTTCGCTGCACGCAACCAATTTATCCGATGATGGAGTCAACGGCCGTGAGATTTCTTATGAGAGACGTTAAGATAAGTTCAATCGGACAGGGTTGAAACACAGTTGATTTGAACTTAAACCTAATGCTTTGATCTATATTTTTTTTCCGTTCACATATCACAGTTGGATCGATAATAAGATTTATATTTCTAACATTCAATTGTAAGAAAAAATGATCAAATTTCCATCAATGTAATATGAGAAGAATCCATAGATATAATTTTATATCAACATATAGAGTGAGAAATTATTACATTTATATTTTTATAAATGGCAGTAACATAATTAGGAACAGATGCTTTTTCTCACTCTTTTCTACGGTGGCATATGCAAAACATAATTAGAAACGGTTATTTCTTGTTTGAGTGATCCAACTTCCTAATGGACTACAAACTTGACAAAGGCATAATGCAGATCCATTTAACTGCCAGCTTAACATGTATCGTATCTCAAATAGCTTTATTACAACCAATGTCTAAAATTAGTACAATAATAAAATAATTAATTAATAAAAAAAGAATAAATATGAAAAACTATAAAAAAGGATGAAGATAATGTAAATTTAGAAATGTAAACTTGATTGGAGAAATATTTGCTCCAATAAAGATGATAGCCTAATCAAGATTCAACTCATTATAAAAAATTTTATTAAATCATAAAAATCAAGTTTAATGATTATTTATTAAAATTACTCTACTCTGGTCGATAACTGACTTGAGCAGCAAAGAGATTAGATCGAAAAATCCATCTAACCTTAATCTTTGTATAGAACAATTATGAAATGTACACCTAAGTCCACGTAAACCTCCAAGTAACCGTAGGAGTCATCCCATCGACAATATCAGGCAAGCTTCATAGGCACATGGGCATGAACCGAGTATGAGCATTATTAACATTTTCTTGAACTAATAAAGCTAAATGGAGGTCATTCGATTAGACTTTTATGATGTTATTCATATTTTTTTATTTTTTATTTTTTTTATTTTTCAATCAATGACTTAAGATTTGACCTAGTCAATGTTTGATGTGATTCTGATTACTATGACTGAATTAACATAATTAATTATTTTATCTAAGATCGATCATAAGGGAATATTTTTTCAAACAAAATATTCTCTATTTTGATTTGGTAGTGGCATGGCAAGTAGATCAGATTCTATTGAGTTCGACATCCTCCATCTCATTTAATGGTGTTGATCTTGCATTGATTGCTAGTAGATCTCTCCACATCAAAACCAAGAAAGGAACGAGACAGATGTACCAAGGATTCCACAAGCGTCATGCCTAAGACCATAGAGCAACGAGGGAGTATAACTCACTTCCGAGTCAAGGAGAGATGTCACATTATGGATGGGACGAGGAGTTGTTGGAATAGGGCGAGCAAGTCACATTCTGGACGAGGAGTTCTTCGACACGATCATTGGACATCCTAAGCAGAGATGACCGCGTCACCTTCATATCTTGTTTTGGACGTGTTTGAGCGTTTCCGCGCGTCGGACAACGTCGCGGACCAGATGTCAGCTTGCAGAAAGCCAAACGGCTGGGCCCGCCTCGGTCAATGACGTGTTGAACGGCGAATGGTGGAAAAGATGACGTGGCCGTAAGAACTCGTCCACCTCAAGGGACAGCAGAGAGTTTGAACCGGACCCATGCTTGCGTAGAATGATTAAAGTATCCCGCATGGACCGGGATGTTGAACCGGGTGATGGTGCGGCAATGTTGGAAAAAGGGCATCTTATGCGTTCGCCACTAGTAGTAGCAGGCGGCATCATGGTAGTCCCACATCGAGACGCAAGCATCCGCTGCGTCCTTCAGTAGTGTGGCCAACCAAGGCAGCACGCAGAGAGTGCGACGGGCACTGCTGCTGCAGAGTGTAGCGATGGTTTTCCACATGGTAGTACTAGGCAAGCTGCAGTTACTCGCAGGGGGCGGCCACGGCCACTGGAAGCTCCTCCTCTCCCTCCTCTGCCCCTTCGCCCTCAAGCTCCCCTTCGCCGCCACCTGCCTCCCTTCCTCCGGCGCCGCCGACCTCCTCCTCGCCCTCCGCCTCTTCGTCTTCCGCCTCGCCCGCATCTGCCGCAACGAGGCCGCCGCGTCGCAGGGGGGACGCGGGAGGTGGGAGCGGGCCCTCCGGTTGCTCCACGAGAGAGCCGTCGCCGGCGGCGATGCCGCACGCCTCGGGGCGCCGCGGACCAGCGAGGAGACCTTTAATATGATCTCGATGCTCGCACTATAATCCCACCACCTGGTCTAATATGTGATTTCATGAGAGCAAATGTGCAACTACTTGTAATGGTCTGAGTGCATTCGTTTTTATGCCAACTCATGGCGGAAGACTCACGGCAATCCTCTGTCATAGTTTGAATCAGTCGTCCTCTTAACGCTTGCTTCGTTCATCTGCCAAAAATAGATCTGTTAGTAGCTCATCTACAAAAGGAGTTCTTCAAATGCTAGAAGAAAAGTAGACATTTTGCTTGTTTCTTCCCAGTTATTAGGGTGACATATTTGCTCCCAGAACTGTGACAAGTGCAGCCGTGCAGCTCGGTTGTCTGGACACAGAACACTGTCGCCGGGGCTCACTACGAAAGCAAAAGAGAGCCAACGAGTTATATGAAGATAATTTTTCTTTCCAGTAAGAACATACTATATTGGAGATCAAGCAGCTACATGTATCAGACAACAAGTTACTAAGTTTTTATTTTTATATCATTTGGATAAAAGGGGCAATCACAGAACATTCTCAAGATTATAAATGAAGCAGAGAGGAGCACTAAAATTCCAGGAAATCATGGAGACCCAGGGAGTGCATACCAATTCATACACAGGCTGCTTCGTTTTGTTAATGCCATGGCTTTGGAGATCAGATTTCATGCTTATGGAATGAGCTCTCTCTCATTATTTGCTTTTATCTTGAACATGATAACGAATTAGCACCACAAGCAACAATAACCTCACAAAGGGTAACAACAATACCTAAGCAATCAAGATGACAACATGAATACAACACTACTTACAACCATTATATATATGCCAACTAGCCTGTTATATTGGGATTCTTTCAAATATTTGCATCAATTACTTAATCCCTTCTATTTTCAATAGTGTTGTCTTCAACAACTCATTGAGTATGTTCTCTGCTGTTTAATGAAGTAACAAAAATAGAGAAAATAAAAGCCAATAATAACATCAATTCTGAATATTAAAAAAACCTTGATGACAAAGCAAAACATGAAATCTAATGGATGACAAGTATTTGAGGAAAGGCATGCAGGTCATGAGGCAGCTATGTATTTAACATGGTGCAAGAGAAACATTGATCAGGCCCCAGTTAGCATCTTAAGAAACAACAACAATAGTAGAGGACTGGTTACAGAATCATTTACTTGCAAGTTTCCCATGCCAAACTTGTTACTATTTTCAAAATGCCAAAAAAAAAAAAGAGTGTTTTTGTCACTTACTGTCATGAAAAATACAAGACAATATCGATAGGCCCTTAGTGCAATTGGTACCAATAGCTGATCTTTCGAGGTGTATAATGCCAAGTGCTTGCATGCTTACTTGAGGGTAGCCATAGCCAGCATAATTTACTAGGTTGCAAGACTTGATAATTTACAGCACAAGCTGACATTTAATCAAATGACTATTTCCCACATCGACAGTAAATCTAAATGAAAAAATCTTACCATGGAGTAGAGCTTCCCATCTATATCCGCAATGCCTTTCATGATGTTCAATGCAGCTCACATATATCGATGAACTGTAGCAAGTTAGGTACACAAGCAGAATTTAGTTAAACAGCAGAAAGAATAGAACAGAGTAAGTTTGACCATGGAACGCTTTCAATACATCTATGGCATAGATTGTTCACGGTGGAATGTTAATCAAGAACAATTAGTGGAACCACTACAGAAGGAATATAATGGAAACTCAGTTTCTCTGAAAACTAAGAACGTTGTGGTAACAATCCATGAGCATTTCTATCTATCCACCTAAAACTTACAAGCATCTGAAAGTTGAACAAAAATGCGATACACAGAGGTAAGAGATTAGCTTTTAGAAATAAATCCTGACAGTTCTGGTCCTCTCAATTCAACCAGGTAATTGTTTTTAAGTGAGATTTCATGGGAAAAAAATGTGCTGTCAGTTAGATTAGAGTGGATGTGAACCTTGGCTCCTTCAACCAAGGGAAGCAAGAGATAGACAGCTCCCAGAAACCTCCCTAATGTGGCCACGGCTTCAAAGTGTCTCTTGGCATGCGGTTCCCATTGCCATAGCAGTTGAACCTGGGAGCCAAGCATCCAAACGAATCAGGATCCGCTTCATTGCAACCAGATTCCTTAGTTCATAGTTTTTTCTGAAAATAGAACAACAGATTGCTCTTTTTTCTTCTTCCTTACAAATGAAGAGAGCAAATTGTTACAACTAGTTATTGGTTTCATTTATCTCCGGATAAAGTAGCTAATCCTTATAATCATTTAGAAAGTTCCTAAAACAATCAGGATGATGCATGTGCCATCATAGATCAAATTACAATTCCATGTACTATATGCCCTAATTGTTAAGAGAAATAGGTCTAAACCAAATGACCTAAGTTTATTGATTAATTCTAGCATGATTGTCTACATATTTTGTTTGTGTATGTCATCTTTGAACTCAATTTATATCAGCAGGAAGCAAATTGAATTTTGGTTTCTTCAAATGTGATGATGATTCAGTCCAACAATCGATGTATCCCACGGTTTCAGGGTCACCTGTGCGTCCGCCACGCCCCGGACGTTGGTGAACCGCCACAGTAGCAACCACGAATTCAGCATCCTTAGCTGGTGCTTCTCTTCTTCCCCCGAAGAGGGCTCCGTCCTGCATCGAAGCGAACCCTCCAAGAATCCGTAGCTGGCCTTTCTTGCGCCGGAGGAGGATGCGGAGGGCGGAGGCGATCGGCCTGGGGATCGCACCCACGCCGATGTCCCGCCATCTTTCGATCCTCTCCCCGTGGCCGGTGGGGCGGTGGATGACCGCGGAGGCGTTTGCGCGGGGATTTCCGGATTCCTCAAAGGGGTGGGGTGGTCCTCGCGGTTCTCCTTGAAGGCGCGTTGGCGGGACGGATCTTGGAGGTGGACCGGAAACAGCGGTAGCGGCCGCCCAGCGGAGAGGACGGTTTCCACACCCGCGGTTCTCGTCGTATGGGCTGATGATGACGGCGGCGGAGGAGCGAAGATGAGCCCCCCAAAACTCGCGATTATCCTTGGAGGGGTAGCTGAACGCGGCATCGGACGCGGGTGCGACGTTGGTGGTGGACTTAGAGCGAGGGATGCGGCAGGGGAGCCAAGAGAAGGCCGGAGTCGTTCCGTTCGCCAAGTTCGCCGTGCGCGGCAACGTCGACGCTTTGTGATTATAGCAAATTTTTAGATCACGCGCTGGATTTATAATATATCGACAACCAAGTAATTATTTTCTGTTTAGAACACATTTTTGTGTTTTGGGGGATTATAATAGGCAATTACATATTACCCATATAATTTTAGACTTAAAAAATTTATATTTAAATTATAAAAATAATATATATATATATATATCTTAATATCATCGATTTTATCGATAAAAATAATAATAATAATAAAATAATTTTAATGTTCTAGTTGATGATGATGGACGACGTCAGTGGTGGCGGATGATAATGTCATTGGAAGCGATGATTAACTATTATGGATGAGAAGAACAACGACAATAGATAAGTGTCACTTTACGTCTGAATCGACATTGACGTAATTATTGAGTGATAAAATGATCGTTTGATATCTGCATCAGTATCGACATAAATCCAAAGCAACAGAGGGGCTGCTTAGCATTTTCATCGATGCCAATTCAGTGAGTAGCATCACTTGGCAACTGCATTTATGCCGACATAATGAATAGTCTTTTCATTATTTTGTATATATATCTGATGCAGTTGTAGAGTGACCTCCATCTCTCGCCGCTGCTCTCATCATCTATAGCAGCCATCCGTGGCCCCCAACCATACCGTCATCTGCCACCACTGATGTCGTCCGTCACCATTAACTGAAATATTAAAATTATTTTTTTATATTGGTTTCATATTTTCATCGATAAAATCGATATGTTAAGGTAAATAGATTTAAATATTTTACTTTTATAATTATAATTTTTAAGAGGTCTAACTATAAAGAGTGATATGTAATTAACTCGATTATGATGACAAATAATCCAAAAATATAGCAACAAGTTAACTATTATAATATCAAAAAAATAAGTATCATCTTAAACTAGTTGTTATGGGAATTTAAAATTCAAAAAGAAAATAATGGAACTCAAACTGTGATTCTTGTTTTTATTTATGAAAGGGTAATAGGAAATATTTTTTGAAAAGAATATAAAATATTTTATTGCTAATCTCCAATCTTTTTACCTATTGCAATTTTATGGTCAAAATTTGTTCTGTTGAATATTATAAGAGTCATTGATGAACTACTTTACTATAACAAGTGGATAAAACAAACAAACATCTAAAATCATCATGAGATATGATTTTATTTTCAACTAGAAACAAAATCAAAAAAGATTTCTATTAACAATCCACTTTTTTTATTTAAAAAATTAATATTTCAAAGATACACTTTATAAATGAACATAAATATCCTTTTTTGAAATGTAGGGTCCAGTAGTGAGTGATGTCTTCCTCTTTTATTTCTTTCAGATGATTATCAATAGCAAAAAATGATTCTCAATAACAAAATTTAACCAAAAAAATATCCAACATATTATGATTGTAGGCTTTCTTCTCTTATCAGCACACCATAGAACAACAACAATAATAAAATCAAAACGTTAATGAAACTTAATGTTTTAACCATTTGGGATCATCTCATTATACTCTTACTAGCACCATGCAATGCAAAATCTCCTTTGTAAAACACACGATATTGTCACAGGAAATACAACAGAATTATTATTTTCAAACTAAGATATCAAGATCAAGAAAAAACCCCATTTCCAAACTGAAGTGCTTCACTTTCAAGAGGAGAATGATCAAAATTTTATCATGATTCTTCATATCCCCTGAACACCAGAGTGACAACCCCCATCTTTGCCAATTAGTCATTTGCCTCTTCTATATGGTATTAAACTGTCATAATGTTACACAAAGTAGATATAAGTGAATAACAAAATTGTCAAAATGAATAGATTAGCCAATCTAATCATCTCCATTAAAGCCGGTCATTTGTGCAGATTAATAAAGTTTGTTGAACTCAGGCACTTGTGTGGACTCCCCGAGTCTGGGAAAGAAGGCCTCCCTTTCAAGTAGGTTCTGCAAGGAACTTGACACTTTAATCAAGGATGCCCATACCATTGGAGCACAGCAAAAGGCATAAGCAAACACTACCAGAGCTCTAACAACACCGTCTGAATACCAAGGGAATGCCATCACAACTAGCGAACCCAATATTCCTAGCAACACTGTGAGGACCGGCAAAGGTGGGAGCAGAAAGACATTGATCACAATTGAAGAAAGAGAAGCAACTCCAAGCACATAAAGGGACCAGCCCAGAAGAGGATGCACTGTACGCGGGATGAGGAAGAATGGCACGGTGTATGCTGCAAGTATAGACCACATTGCTGCCACCTTAAGCATTGTATGTAAGATCATGATGCTCTTCTCTGGACGTCGGTTGTAGCACAGCTTCGACAAGCTTGGTCGTGCCAACCTGGTGACGGCTATGATTCCAGCATACATTATAGCTTGGATCAGCAACACCGGAACCTCTGAACCATACCTGCACATGATATCATCTCCCTGTCAAAAGTTCAGGAACCAATACAAGATGTCTGATACAAGAACCAGAAGAATATACCTACTTTTAGGTCAAGCACAAGGCAAATTTCATTAATGCAGCCTACCCACATGGTAAATAGAAATGAAAAATCAAACATGGTACTCCTAGAGTATCGTCACAGTTCACAGGTGTGCAAGTGCTTGTTTACTTACCCAAGATTCTTTCGACGTTGCTCATGCCATGAAAGACCCAATGGTAAGACAGGCCAAGACCACCAATACCAGGGCTTTAACCATGGGGCACTAGGGAATGTGATTACACTATTTGGTCCACATGGTATGCTCCACCGGAGCTTCAGATCTGCAACAAAAACAAACCAAGCCAATTGCTCAAAATGATGATCCCAGGTACTTACTATTTAGTCGAGGCACAAAATTATAAAGACCCCCTACATTGTATGAAAAAAACACTCAAATGAATCATAAACCTGAAAACACTGAGTTATCATATAAACTGGCATGTTGTAAAGTAGGGGAAACAAAATAATCAGAGAAGGGATCATTCTTGCACTCACAATAATATGAAGCATCCATCTGGTATCCCAAAGGAAGCCGATAGGTACCATCAAGTTTGGTACCATTGATAGGTGGATGGAACATCGGCTGATCAAGCAAGTCAGGAAAGTAGCTTGCAAGGAAGCCCTGATCAGCTCCATCTGGGTTCTCACGTCCAATTTCTAGTTCATGAAGCATGTTCTTGAAAACATCCATTGAAGGCTGCCAGACAAACAGAAAAGAATGGAATTAGATTTCAAAGAAGACCTTGGTATTCCCCTTTCAAGATGTGGCAGGTCCATCCAAGTATTACTCAAACTTCAGATTATCGATAAATTTGGACAAGGTTTAGTTAGGGATGAAGCTAAGAAATCAATGGTTTTAGATCCTCCACCTCTAGAGAAAGGAGTGACTACCTCAAGAGAGACTTCCCAGTTTTAATGCAATTTTTTAAAACAACAATATATATAGATGATGATCACATAGTAATCATCATAAATTACATGATGTAACCTCAGTAGCATTTAGTTGTTGCCAATATGACATCATTACTCATTGATCTTCTCTTTTCTATGGAATTGGATATATGCATCTTATATCTTGATCTACCAGTCATGCAACTGAAAATGCTATAGAACTACTCCTTTTTGTGCCTCGATACTGCCTGGATCCTGATGATCCTCAGGCAGCAAAAAGTTTTATGGAAAGTCACACAATAAGTCAATCAGACTATAGGAACAGTGTGAATGGTTGAAAGGATAGGATTGTGGTGGTCTGTGGATCACCTCAAGCAAATCAGTTTGAATCATGGATTATTGTTAACAACAAGGAGTAGTAATTTCTGCCTTTTTCCATCTCTTCCATCACCTCCATCTCATAATAGGTAAAGTGTTTGACAAAAATGAGGGCGAAGAGATGCTAACTCTTTTTTAGCAGGGAAAAAACTTGTAATTTCGGGATTGTTGGTCATAGCTTAAGCAACTAGCACTACACAATGGGATAAATCTTCCTTCCATGTAAATTGCTAACACACAAGGATTTTAGTTTGAACCTAGTTTGAAACTGACTCATGAATCCCAATATTAATCTTATTGTTATTTCAATATCCGATAGCACATAAAAGATGGTTTTTAATGAAAGAAAAACAATGGGCATAAAAATTAAATTTAGTGTCTAGAGGGTGTACCTGAAGGACAAAAAGTCCAGTATGAAAGATGCAGGGGTTGATGAAGACAGCACAGAATTGACCACACTGGAAAAGCTCATCAGTACGCTGGAGGAAAATGTTATCAGAATCAAGCATAACAACTCGATCATATGAAACTAAACTCCATGCATAAAGCTTATTCAATGTCAACTTGAATCTGGTGTTGAAGTTGTCTTGATTTTCATAGGGGTTCTTCAAATTCTCAACAGTGACAACCCTCACACCATCCTCCTCTTGCCTGTCACATCAACCATCAAACAATAGTTGTGAGTGGTCAGAGACAACTCGGCCAAACTGAGTCAGTATCCATTTGTCTCCCCAATCCTAGAAGTTTAAAAGTTTAGGCTTACCTTGTCATCATCTTCTTTCCTAATTAATTAAAAAGCATGATAACAGGGTTAATGACAGAAGCAATTAATCTTGCGGATGATTAAAACAAAAAACAAAATCAAGAGTGTCTTAGTGGTCATTGATCAATTCAAAAACTAGATAACGGGTAATCAGATGAAATTACAAATCTATACACTGTTGGTCTTTTCTTGAATGTATCAAAAATTCCAATCATTTTCTTAAATTGAGCAAAAAATTTCAATATATGATATTTCTGATTGCAGATCGGTTAATTCTGCTAATATTCAGAACAGTAGGGGTAGTAATATGGAACAACTTGTTTCCTTCACGCGTCCTTTTGCTTTCAAAGCACTAAAAGGACACCGATAGTACCAATGACACGGCAACAAAACCAAGACCACAAACCAGCCGAGGCTCCTCGATTCCCATAAAGACTAACGATGGCCCTCGTCGGCAAGCATTCTTCTTCTTTCCATTAAATGTCTATTTTACACTTTCCAAACTAAAAATTGATATCTTAAGTGATTTTGCTTTTATTATTTAGTATTTAATAAACGAGAGAAAGGACAAATTGATCTCTAATATTGAAAGGCCATCCAACCATCAATTGTTTGACGCTAATAATGGGAAAAAAAGGGGTTCTTTTTTCTGGGTTAAATTTTACCATATGAAAGTCTGGGGAAAAGAAAAAGACAAACTAGTAAATCTACTCCTTAAGAAAACCGATGCCATCAAATAGATCGAAGGAAGTAATGTCAAAAAAGAGAAGAATTGTAGGATGAGGAGGGAGATCTCACAAGGTCTGGACCCATCGTACGGGGACATCTACAGAGGCGATGACAACGAGATCGGCGTCGACGTTGAGCTTCGCAAGGGACCTCATCATCACCCTCATCGCCACGTAGAACTCGTAGTCCCTGGGCGTCCCCATGTACATCATCGCCGCGTACGCGTGCCTCCGTCTCGTCGTTGACGCCGCCGCCGCTGCAGCGGCCGCCAGCGTCAACAGCAGCGTCACCAGGATCCACAGTCGCCCCCCACCATCCATGCCGCTCACGAACACTAAGCTAAAACGACCCAATATCAAATCTTTATGCTACCAGATATCGGATCATCACCTCCGGCGCCCCTCACCGTGTCCCATTCTCCAGATCTCAGCTACCCCTCACCGGCACAGCTCCCCCGCCGCTCCGGCCCGTCCCGAGCCGACGCACACTTCCTGGAACACGGTCGAGGGCTCGCCGGTTACTGCCGTGAGAGGAAGGGAGAGAGAGAGAGACAGAGAGAGGGTTTGAGGGTTTTCTATTGAGACGGGGAAAGAGGCAGTGAGGAGGCGCTCAAAGAGAGGCCCGAATTAAAATTAGCGCCGGTTGACAAATCGATTTAAGCAACGACTTAGAAATCGACAAAATGACGTGGCGCGCATCAACTGGGTCGGGACGGTGCGCCAACATCTCGTCTTACCTGAACTCGTAACTAAAGCGTTTCCAATTAAGACACATAAATACATCAACAAAAACACTTTTTGCACGCGTTCTCATACGTACCCGCCTGACGAATGGACAGACGCGATCGGGCCGGCAGAGAGGCAACCGGTAACGATGCGGGTACAGTAAAAGGTCTCATCCGCGTATCAGACGCCATTAGTGGTTGGGTTTAATTACAGGGAACCGTTAAAGTGAACGCGGAAAACAACAAAATAGGATCCCCTACAGCCGTTGTACGAACAATGGACCGATTAATGTTCCACAGGACGACCCTTACGAGAACTCCATGATTATATTTAGAATTACATTTGGATGGGATCCGACTACTCCGCTAACGTGCTCAAAAGTTTGTCGATCTCATAAGAAACGTAATCTTGTGAAGCTGTCTTCATTTTTTGGAGGTTGCAATTCCTCTTTGCCTGCAATCCAATTTTAATAGGTATTATATCATTTTGATCCATACAAATCGATGCATAACTGTGTTTATGTCTCCCTGAATAGTTGATCCCTGTCTTTTAATTGTAACGTTATCTTATCTTAAACTTGATTTCATAGGATTGAAAATAAAATTTTATTTGCTCAAAAATAATTGGACGGTCAAGATGAAAAGTTAGGATAAAATGAACGACGATTGGATTGTATCGATCTTTCATACGAAGAATATGATGTGTTTACTAAATGGCTAAAATTTGAGAAAATATTTAATTATGTCTTTTAGGGTGTCATTTTATATTATTAATATGATGTATCACATGAAAAATACTCGTAGAAATATCTTTTTATGTAAAGTCTCAATAATTCAGGGATTTTCTGTTTTGTAGTCTCAATATTATTTAACCATAATATTTTTCTTAAAATAAGTTTTTACTATTTTAAAACCATTATTCTTCCTTAAAATATGTTCATACTATTTTAGATGATTATTCTTATACTAATTTTATCTTTGATAGTAATACTACACATTCATCTCAATGACACATTCTTTACATATTTTTTAATCATCAAACACTCGAATTATAAAGCATGATTGATCTTCTTTTGATCACGATGACATGAAAGTAAAGATTAGACCTCACCGATTTCAAGTGATTAATTAGTCGCATGTGAGCAAGAAATATGCCAATGTCAAAAAATAGATCCACCAATCAACTGTAGATGAGTTGGCAGCTAAATCAATGGGTGTGAACTACCACAATAATCCTAAACACAGCTGTGTTGAGCCTTTCTTCTTTAATGTTCTTATCCTCACTCCAAACATATATATATATATATATATATATATATATATATATATATATATATATATATATATATATATATATATATATATATATA